TAATTGCAACCTTGTGTGTTCCCTACTAAACCATCAAACTCACATATTTTAATATGCTATATGTTTAATTGCATTTTTTTAAGGACAACGTATTATGTTTGGTGTTTAAGATAACATTCTTTATAAACTATATGTAACATGGTTGTTGTATCTTTAATTTGCTATAAATCTGCCACTTATATTGTCGCACATTATGTCAAATTAAACTATTCATTTTGATCAATAATTGGCTGATTTGATGTGTCTTAGCATTCATATGCTTCAATATATTCACTGATTACAAATATAATGCAATACATGATCACTGCGCATCGACAACGAAGATGACAACGATAGCGATATTATAGTCGCATGTGACAGTACGCACTAAGCAGTTGGCAGTAAGCATAATACGAGTTGCAATAATTTGTGTTCATATTATGACAGCAGGTGTCGCTTTTTCGGTACCTCCCGTTATTTTCCGGATGATCCCGTATTTTGGAACGTGGAGTAAACAAGTAACGTCCACTTTATATAGGGGCGTATACAGAACAGTGTTAGTTGGGGACTGACATTAAATTTACTAAAAAACAAGAGGAACACGATGCAACAGACGAAAAGTGCGTGTTTTTGAAGATTCCGCCAGCATGTGGAAAAAAAAAGTTATATATGTCTCTAATAACTCAACCTACCAGTGGCAACTCACCTCTTATACAATTGTTTACACTTCTTTTTGAGCGTGTGTGATATTATAAAGTGAAATTGAATTTTTATCAAACTTAAGGTGGCACGAAGGTGACATGTGTGTGTTTTTATTTATCTCGTGCGCAACGAGATACTGTGTCGTGGCCACGGGTTACTAAGTCGTGGCCGTCAGATAGTTAAGTCGTGGGAACGAGATACTATGTTGTGGCCACGAGTTAATTAATCGTGGGAACGAGGTAATTAAGTCGTGGACACGATATACTATGATATGGCCACGAGTAACTAAGTCGTGGCCACGAGTTACTAAGTCGTGACCACGAGATAAAATAAGTCGTTGGAACAAGTTACTATGTCGTGGCCACGAGAAAGTTTAGTCGTGCCACGAAAAAGTTAAGTCGTGCGAACGAGATAAATAACCAATCAAAAATTACACTATTTATATGAATTTCCTAACAAGGATGCCCCTACTTCATTTGTCCGTAAAAGTGCCATCTAACAAGTTATTGATTGGTCAAAGATTTTAGCGTCATTGTGACCTTCATTCTGACCAAATTGCCTAAAAATTATTAGGTGTCATCTACTGATCTTTTTAGGTTATATAAACTACGGCTTATTCTTTCTAAAATCATTCATCAGACAAGGATTTTGTATGAAGTGTCATGTTTATCTGACCTGTGAACCTCAAACATCCTTATAGGATATCTACTGCTCCATGGGCAATGTCCCTTCCCAATAAAATAAACCAGGACTAAGTCCCCTCTCAAGTTATGGTATTAAAACAATGTTAACAGGCCTTTGTACGCTACAAAATGACCAATTCTATCATAGAATGTTCCCAACAAAGGGCTATAACTAAAGAGATAAATAAAAAACACACACATGTCACTTAGTAACTCGTGGGCACGACTTAGTACAGTACAAACTTGATTTTTTTTTTTTTTTTTTTTTTTTTTTTTTTTTTTTGTAAAATAAAATAAATAATTAATTTGGCTTCACACAAAACATTGTGCTTTAAAATACTTTACACTGTAATTGGACAGTATGAATATATTCATGTATAGTGTTATTACAAAAATATATAAGGAAGTTTTCTTTTAAAGACAGGCACAACTTTACATGACCCGTAATAAGGAAAGCAGATTCCTATACATTATGTGTATGTGTTTTTATTTAAATAAAACATATTTAGTAAGAATTTTATAGATTTCAATAAATTTCTGTGATAAAAAATATATTACTTGAAAGATGTGCATAGTATATCTTAAAGCCACCAATTGTATTGAATTGGTGGTTTGTGCGGATGATGTCTTATCTATAATCAGACACAACATTTGCCCAAACATTTGTAATTGACTATGCACATGTCACAACAAATAAACAACTTCCTTCTTTCCTTATTATACATGTATATTTTAATGTGTTACATACCTATATTCGCCACTTAATAGTGACTCTGGGACATTTTATTAAGTTAAAAGGCCAATTTAATAAGTTTTGCTTATGATGTCCAAGTCATTAGATAAAAGACCTTCGCAATCGCAGTACCTGCGGCAGGTGCTTAACAACTGGATGGACAGCATTATATGTTTTGATAAGGGAAGTACACTATGACCACTATTGCATGAAACTTACACGTATATATTCCATCCCAGCTCATCAACGTATTCTTTGGGGTAGGTGCAGCCCTTAAGCCAAGGCCTGAATCCGCCACTGTACGTATAACTGCCCCATTGAATAACTGTTTAGCGAGCATATTTTTTCTTTTAGACTGTATACATATACATGTATAAAATTATATTGCATAATGCCTTACTACTTGTATTTATATTCTTTCCATTGCAATTTATGTATTAAGCGCTTGGTACGTACCTTTATAGCATTGTCGGCCCTCTGTATTTTAACGTATAACCCACGATGGCCCCTAACGGCCTCTTCCGTAATATATACATGTACGAGAAAATTCCGATGATACGGCGAATCATTGAAAAAAATCCGTTGATATCGATAAACAGAGTTCTCGCCCCTTAAAAGTTCACAAATCGTCTAGACATTGTTTAAATTGTTTATTATAATGTTATAAGATGATCAAACCATAATCCACAAAAGCCTCACGACACCGAGCTTTATTAAGCATAAACCAACACTGAAATAATGGATATAGCGAAAGCTAATAGTAATCACGCCCATGCGAGCTGTAAATCAAATAAGTCCCATTTTTAAACAAAAATCCATCAGGGAACAAAAAATAGTCAATTTTAAATGACTTCTACATAAAAGTAATACAAAAAAAACTAAACCGTAAATGGTTTGTATAGAGCATGAAGAAAGGTAGCTTATACATAAAAGGTATAAAACGTTAACATTTTAGTATTCCAAATGGCTTGTTCCAGTTTAACAGTTATCACTCAATGAAAGAATTGGTCACTACGAAATGTTTGAATGAAATAATGAAAAATGGAATCCAGAATAATGCAACGGTTTAAATATCATAAAGCAAAGATGGAATCAATCATAATGCAAGTTCTAATGTCATGTAGCAAGATGGAATTAAGCATAATGCAAGTTCCAATGTCATCAAGCAAGATGGAATCAAGCATAATGCAAGTTCCAATGTCATCAAGCAAGATGGAATTAAGCATAATGCAAGTTCCAATGTCATCAAGCAAGATAGAATAAATGCATTAATTCTGTTCCATATGGGTGGATAGACCTCATTGAGGAGGAGTGCAGTGCACAAAAATAATAACTATATCCTGCATAATTTTTGAGTTATTGTCCTTTGTTATTTTTCACAATTGATTTTTGTCCAGAGCACAACTCAAAAAACCTTTGAGATATCAACATGAAACTTCATATGTGAATAGATCTCACTCAGGAGGTGTGCAGTGCATAAGAATGATAACTTTACCTTTCATAATGTTTGAGTTATTGCCCTTTGTTATTTTTGATACTTAATTTTTACCTGAGAGAACTTAAAAGTATTTGAGATGTCAACATGAAATGTCATAGGTGGATAGATCTTATTCAAGAGGAATGTTGTGCACTAGAATGATAACTCTTCCCTATATAATTTTTGAGTTATTGCCCTTTGTTCTTTTTCATACTATTTTGTCCGGAGCTTATCTCAAAAAGTATTTGAGATATCATCTTGAAACTTCATAGGTGGATAGATTTTACTGAGCAGGGGTGCAGCACACAAGAATGATAACCTACTCTGCATTATTTTTCAGTTATTGCCCTTTGTTTTTTTCAGCCATCAGTATTCACATAGGTTTCAAATCTGTAATCACTTCAGCCATCAGTTTTCTTTACCAAAAGACCTCTTAAAATGGAATTATTCTGCTCTACTATATATAAATTCTTCCAATGACCAAACACATTCGGCGGGGGATGGTCATGTTGACATCGTTTTTGTTCTGTTTAAATATACCTTAGACTTTTGTTACAGATTTCGAGGAGTATACAATGTCGGTTAGTCGGACTGTAAATGACTGTGAATCCTTTCTGAACATCTTAAAGCAACTGCTTTGTAAGTATGTAGAAAATTTTAAAACATCTAAATAGTTCTAGTAATGTCCTGTACAAATTATATCCTAATGTAAATGTTTTAATTGCTTTTCGTACTTAAACTGTATGATGGAAAGCCTTTTTTTCACAAATGTGCTACCTAGTTTTGAAATGTTTTTGTATTAAGTATTTACGTAATTTAAATGTATTTAGAAATAAATTTTATTTTCTTAATTTTTGACGTAGCATAAGTATATATAGTAAAATATTCTTTTCGTAGCATGTTCATAATTGGCATGTTAGCATCATGGTGTATGGTTCCCTGTTTCAATTGATGAAAATGTGCTCCGTGTTAAAATGGCCCGGCCCCGTTATTTCATTTAGTATGTAGACTCTTGATAAAATAAAATTTGAAATATGTTAAAACAAAGAACTTTTTAAGCTGCATTGAATTCAGATATGACTTCTTGACTTACTGTTTAGTCTTCATTTTCATAGCACATTGACAGTATGTTAAGAATCACCTTAAAGTTTGTAATTTGATGATCTTTTGACTTAACACCGTTACGTATTTTGCCATTTTATTCGTTAGTCGGATATAGTTATTTACTCTTTTATATCATTGTTTTTTATGTTTGTTTTGTCTATTTCTTAAGTTTAGATAACTGGTATATATTCTATCAAACTGAAACGCATAAACGTAACCACTTAATGTCAAGTGATGTACTTCAAATTCCCTCGTCTAATTTTGCGTTGCTTATACACATTATTATTTGATTTGTATGCGCATAAAGAAAAACAGCAGTAGAATTGGGACATAGTTGTGAGAGCTATATTAAATAAAAAAAAACGATTTTATTTCATATGGCTATAGTTGTAAGTCAGTTTTAAAAAGCAGATTATTAAAGGAATATATTAATGACATATGAGCTTTCTACGTGCATACTAAAAATGATCTTATTGTACATCGTGATTGTGTCGTCTGTTACCATTCAAACAGTTAAAAGTCAAGGGAATGCAGTATGTGACTGTCAGGAAGTTGGTGCATTAAAGGATATGGTACTACAAGTGATGATAGAACAACGAATGGAGTCTGCTAGAGTTAGTAGATTAGAAGCGAGAATAAAGACATACGAGACAACTGGACCAATTCCAAATGGTACAATTATGTTTCTAATTAATATTAATATTGTTGATTAAATCGTAAAAAAACATGCTTTATATGCTATGCATTAGTACTTTAGTTTTCCGTCAAATGAATCATTCATAGGAAATTCAACTCTCATCTAAAATTGCATGCATTTAGAATCTGCCTAAAAACAAACGATGCCATATAGTAAAAAACGAAACACATTAACATTTGCGGTATATATTTTACTACTATTTGAACACTTATAATTGTACGTTAACTTTTATTCTTGTGTCAAAATTTTGTGTTATCAAAATCATTGTCTTTATATTTCAGATCGCCTGAAAAGATTAGAAAAAAACGTAAACGATATCAATATGAAATTTAATGAAACAGTAACTGGGGAAAAGGATAAACAGATAGGATTCCATCGAGGCATTGGTACCATTGTACAGAAGGCGCTGATCTCGGAGAAAAAAGAAAGAAAAAAATTGGTTTCAAGCATAAATAAAATAGTAAATGAATACAAGGACACCATTGAAACGTTCAAAGAAGCGATGAACAATACCATCGACAAACGTTTCCAAGACATAACTGCTGAACAAGTGAAATATAAGGACACCATTGAAACGTTCAAAGTTGCGATTAACAAGACCATCGACAAACGTTTCCAAGACATAACTGCTGAACAAGTGAAATATAAGGACACCATCGAAACGTTCAAAGTTGCGATTAACAAGACCATCGACAAACGTTTCCAAGACATAACTGCTGAACAAGTGAAATATAAGGACACCATTGAAACGTTCAAAGAAGCGATTAACAATACCATCGACAATCGTTTCCAAGACATAACTGCTAAGCAAGTGGACTATAAGGCCACCATTGAAACGTACAAAGAAGCGATTAACAATACCATCGACAATCGTTTCCAAGACATAACTGCTATGCAAGTGGAATATAAGGCCACAATTGAAACGTACAAAGAAGCGATTAACAAGACCATCGACAAACGTTTCCAATACATAACTGCTAAGCAAGTGGACTATAAGGCCACCATTGAATCGTACAAAGAAGCGATTAACAATACCATCGACAATCGTTTTCATGACATAACTGCTAAGCAAGTGGACTATAAAGCCACCATTGAAACGTACAATGAAGCGATTAACAAGACCATCGACAAACGTTTCCAATACATAACTGCTAACCAAGTGGACTATAAGGCCACCTTTGAAACGTACAAAGAAGCGATTAACAATACCATCGACAATCGTTTCCAAGATATTGTAGCTAAACAAAGGGAATATAAGGACACGCTTGAAACGTTCAAAGTTTCGATTAACAAAACTATAGACGAACGTTTCGAATATATATCTGCTAACCAAATCAAGTACAGGAATGAAATTTCATTAGATCTTATCACACTTAACGAGACGAGGTATATGGTAGATACACTAGGTAAAATAGTGGAAGGAGGCCAAGGTTATTATATGTTTTTTCTTTCTCATCTTTCAACCTATCAAAAGAATAATATACACATGTATAAAGCCTTTTGCGCCGATAAACTTATACACTTATAATTAACCAGTAATAGAAGTTTCGGCAACATTATTATAAGTGCTGCAATCTGGCAAAAGTAAAGATTTTCTCATGTCTGACATTCATTGGGATAATTAACATTAGTTGTTGTTCTAGCATTAATTCAGAAGGTCATTTTGATTTTATCTTTAGTCACATCGAAAGGGCTGATTATCCCCCCTTATATACTTTTTTTATTCATTGAACATCTTTTTAAAACAAAAGCTTAATATTATCACGCTAATGAAATAAAATATTGTTAAGGCGTAAGAACGCAAATAAAGGTATTATAACGCAAACCAATTGCATAGTTACGTGAAACAAAATAGATATAGTATCACTCATAAAGTCGTAATAACGCAAAATAAAAAGGCCTTGAAATGCTGAAAAATATGTTATTACATCAAACAAAAGGAGTTATGACGCGGAGCAAAAGAAGTAAATAACGTTAATGAAGTTGAAATTGTTTATTCTTTGAACGCTTTAGCTTCAGAATGTTCGTACAATATTATTGTTATTCTTGTAGTTCGATTAGTTAATGGCTCGAATCAGTATGAAGGGAGACTAGAAGTATGGCATGATTGGTCTTGGGGAACTGTATGCGATGATGGGTTTGATACGCTATCAGCAAGTGTTGTTTGTAGGATGCTCAATTTTCAACAGTAAGTTAACAATTGTTTTATAATCCAAGCCAACAAATTTAAATAAAACGTTTTTGTTAGAGGCATAATATAATTAATAGAGGTTTAAAATCGCAATTAATTTACAATACCAATTGATCCTTTGATGCATTCTCAAATTAATTGTGCGAGTATATATTCTTCTTCCGGCGAAGACAACACGTTTGAATTAAAATGAAAATTGATAAATTAATGAATGACATTATATAAAAAGAACAATATGATATATTGTTTAATTTCTTGTATTTAACTTAATATATTTAGTACTAATCCTGTGGTATTCAAGTCTGCTTACTTCGGCGCTGGAAAATTACCAGTACATTTAAACAATGTGAAATGTTCGGAAACAGACATAAGAATATCTCAGTGTCCGCATTCGGGTTGGGGAAAACATAATTGCAGTCACGACAAAGATGTTGGCATATCATGTACACCAGGTAATCTTTGCCTGATTTTAAGTGTTTCTGAAATATATGATTTACTTATAGTAATTTCTAAAGATAGTGATTGTTATTTAAAGGGATACTATGGCAAATTATAGACTAAAATATTAAAATGATCTTATGTACTCAAATCAAGCTTAAATGCCAATTTGTAAAGTCCCAGCATGAATTTCTATTCAAATTCTATATATTTTGGGTTTTAAGCGTACACATATCTATATATGTTGAACGAAACTTAGACGTCGACAGAATCACCGAGTAGGTTTAAAACAAGTCATTAGATTTAAACAAACCACCCTGGAAATTACAATAACAGATATTGTGGATATTGTTTGATTGAATCAAGTCTAAGTCATTCATTTGACATGTTCTTTAACGTTTCACTATGACCCACGTGAGTCAAGTAAGAAAACTACCATTTTAATCTTTCTAAGGCGAAAATATTTTTCCTGTGACTGCCAAGTGTATTTATTTTGAGAACATTTACAAAATAATAAATTAAAAATTCAAAACGTAGAACAGAAAATTTTGCCTGTATCTCCCTTTTACAAAAACATATGAATATGAAAAACAATGAATTGTTTTTTAACATAGCATTTTCAAACATTGTATTATGTTGTTTCATTTTATCGTTATGTTACAATCCGTACAATTTATTTCAGTGAAAAAAGTCATGAAGAAGGTTGACCAGAGTCTGATTGTCAATATCTTCTACTACTATTTCTACTATTACTTCTTCTACTAGCATACATCAGGGTTTAAATAAGTTTTTCTGTACATAATTACATGTGACAGCTTATTTATTATTTTGTAATCATTGAACAAAAAATAAAAAAGACCCCCCTCATTGAAAAAAAAAATAAAAAGACCCCCCCCCACAAAAAAAGACTAAAATACCCAAACAAAACATGATTATATTGATTATATCAGCTATATATAAATCATGTTTAAAATATCGATTCTTGTAGTTCGATTGGTGAACGGATCAAATCAATATGAAGGGAGACTGGAAGTATTGCATAATGGTACTTGGGGAACAGTATGCGATCATGCGTTTAGTGAGATGTCAGCAACTGTTGTTTGTAAGATGCTGAATTACCCACAGTAAGTAACATGTACCTTCCATTGTTAACATTCATTTTATAAAACGAAGAATGTCTCATTAACATCTGTAGTATTACCTCAAGTGAATAACAGGGAAACAATATCATGAAAATTCTATTGAACACCTTAGAAATATATCCACACAATTGATTGTCCTAAATAATACGGAGAATACTTTTTTTCTTGTGAAAAGGTAAATCCCTAAAAGGTAATAAATCATACAGATAACAGCCAGAAGTTCTAAACATCTTTCTGAAAAAAAAAGAGTTTAATATAACAGAAATTCAGAGTAACGTCACTAAAGTGTGCTATTCCCGATTACGACATGCTTTGTTTGCCTTGTGCTTTGGTAGTCTCTTATGTAGTATGTGCCGTCTAAAAGCAAATGTTTAACTTAGCTTGAATCAGTGTTCACAATTTACGATAACTGTAGTTCTCTATATTTTGTTTTGAATGTATTGGATATGAGAAAACTGTATTCATGCAGAAAAATTGATGCAAATATCTGTAAATAAAGCAGTTATGACAAAAGTATCTTAACTTCTGCAAAAACCCTTGCAAACTTACTTGGTAAAGATAGTGTAGACCTGGTTCCTTGGAAATTATCTGTACATACGATGGCTATCCCAATAGGTCATGGATAATAACGTTAAAGGACAAAATACTGAACGGGTTTCTAATCAGATTTTACGTATATTTATACGCCATTGCTGAATAAACTTGCAAATATATCAGCATACTAACATTTCATTTGATTACACATAACAAATTGTAGACCTGGTTCCTTGGAAATTATCTGTACATACGATGGCTATCCCAATAAGTCATGGATAATAACGTTAAAGGACAAAATACTGAACGGGTTTCTAATCAGATTTTACGTATATTTATACGCCATTGCTGAATAAACTTGCAAATATATGCAAAATTATGATAATCTTGGATGTCAATTCATTTCTGCAAATTTTGATACCACATATGCCAATATATTGCTTTAACAATTATGGTTCTATAACAAAGTGTACCTCAGTAATGATCCAGTCTCCAACTTGTTTTTGATCTAGTATGTTGTAAAAAGTTTTGGTGTAATAAAAGATCTTAAAATCTAATCTTTCTTTCTATAAAGAAGTCGTATTTAAAGTCGTATTGGTACAAAAACCAAAAGCGATAATACTTAAAACACCCCCTTCCCCCGGGACTATTAATACTAACTTGAATTTATTTAATGCTTATAAATTATGGTTGCATGTATATATATAGTTTGATTCTTAAAAGATGTATGACCGCCTCTGTGGTCGAGGGGTTAGAGTCGATGACTTCTTATCCAGTTACCTCTCAGGCATGGGTTCGATCCCCGGGAAATGCTTTGGTAGTTAAGCACGGAGGAAGGTAGTCTGGTACTGGTGTAACTTTCCAGGAACGATAGTTAGGAAACTACCTGCCGATATGACTGAAATACTGTTGGGAAAAGGCGTAAAATGAGACAAACAAACAAACAAAAACAAAAAGACGTATGTTTATTTCAACAACGAAACATTTAAGAGATTAAATAGATAAACGGATGTTAAAAATTATTGAAATACCATTATGATATATCTGAGATTCTCTGATAAAAAATATCTTAATCATTTTAGCACTTATCCAATTGTATTACGGTCAGTACATTTTGGCGCCGGAGCATCACTAATACATTTTGACGGTGTTTACTGTAAAGGAACTGAAACAAGCATAACACAATGCCCGCATAAAGAATGGGGAATTACTGATTGTGATCACCATAAAGATGTTGGCATATCATGTACACCAGGTAATATTTGTCGAATTAAAATTGTGTCTGAATATACATGTGATACATAACACAAATACCTAATATTAGCAAATTAATAAAATAACCCTAATAGCACATTAATAAAATGGATGATCAAAAATAAACCGGACTGTGACTGTCAATTGAAGAATTCTCAACCTATCACTTTGTTATTAATCACACTTAATCGGAAAACAATACCTGTAAACTGATGCTTTATATAATCTGATAACGCAAAAACTTGTCCGTAACAGCGAATTCAAAAACAATGTTAACGCACACCCGGCGCAGTGCGTGAATTCGCCTTGACATCAGGCGCTTTAAGCTGCGTATCTTTTACAATATGGCACATTTAGATTTCAAAATACACCAAAACGTCATGAACCATATCTTTGACGTTGTCAGTAAAAATGACTTCATTTAAATTATATTTATATTTGCAATCACAATTCAAACGGCACATGTTAATGAAATACTCCCGTAAAAACTGTGTCGTCGGAATGTCTCGAAAATCGATCAATAAGAAAAATTTGTCAAAAGTAGGACAGGAAACTGTTTAAAACGTATAAAAGTTTATGGCTATCAAAGGAAAAGTTCCAGAAAGCCACAGCATATTTTTTGATTTCCATAAAAAATTAAAAAAGGGTTATAGAGAAATAGAAAACAAGTAAGGGAGAGACAGAAAGAAGAAATTTTCAAGGACGTTGGTGATGTCAATCGCTAAGACGTTGAAAAGTGACAGTCAATTGACTGCGGACATTGTCAATGATGTTCGACAGTAGATACGGGACGGAGCAGTCAACTCTAAGGATTTTAAAATGATATAGTTAATGCATCTATTACATATATTGTATTCTTGGTTTACAATTGTATCAATTATTTTTTTTTATTTTACGCAGTAGTTTTTTGGGGGAATTGTGTCAACAAATAGACAGTCACTGTTCAAAATCGGTTTTATTTATTTTAAAATAATAACAAATTTGTTCATAGTTGTATTATCCTTTTAATTTTTCTTATGTATGATACATTATCATTCAGCAACATTATTTTACATTATTTGTAATACATAATATAGTTTATTGCATGTGGAATTTTTCCAACAATCAAGTTACAGACGGATAGAACGTTATTACAGGAGCTCTTTATCATCGTCCATTCTTTCACAATACAATATGTTACCCAGTTGTACAGAAATATATATATAGGCAGTGGATCCGCCGCATCAACAACATGACTGTACCACTTATTGGCCTACTCCGTGAATGAGTAAAAAACTGCTCCGTCAAGAAAAATACGCTTGTGACGTTGTTAACGTCAATTTCGAAGTTATACCATGCGCCGCATTGCTTTACATGTACATGCCAATAACAGCATAACTTTTTTATTTGTTTATATTTCTTTTTGGAATTTTTGTAACATTTAGGGGATAGATTCCGATTTAAGTTCTGTGTATTTTTATGTTAATTCATTTAACAGGTAAAGAATAATTTACAAAGTCCGGTTTATTTTTGATCATCCCTCGTAATATTGTTAAGACGTAAGAACGCGAATTAAGGTATATTTTCGCAAAACAATTGCGTAGTTACCTTAAACAAAAAATATAGTATCGCTTTTAAAGTTGTAATAACGCTAAAATGCCTTGAAATGCGGAAAAATGTGTTATACACGAAACAAAAGAAGTTATAACGCGAAGCAAAAGACGTAAATAACGTTAATGAAGTTGAAATTTGATGTTTGTTCTGTGAACACTTTAGCTTCAGAATGTTCGTACAATATTAATGTTATTCTTGTAGTTCGATTAGTAAACGGCTCAAATCAGTATGAAGGGAGACTAGAAGTATGGCATGATTGGTCTTGGGGAACTGTATGCGATGATGGGTTTGATACGCTGTCAGCAAGTGTTGTTTGTAAGATGCTCAATTTTCAACAGTAAGTTAACACTTGTTTTATAATCTAAACCAACACATTTTCAAACGTTTTTGTTAGAGGCATAATATTATTGAAAGAGGTTTAAAATCACAATTAATTTTACAATATCAATTAATTAATCAATTGATTGATTCCCAAAAGAATTGTGCGAGTTTTTATTCTTCTTAATGCGAAGAAAACAAAAATTGGAAAAAGTAATGAATGACATTATATAAAAAGAACAATATGATATATTGTTTAATTTCTTGTATTTAACTTAATATATTTAGTACAAATCCTGTGGTATTCAAGTCTTCTTACTTCGGCTCTGGAGCATTTCCGTTACATTTAGACAAAGTGAAATGTTCGGAAACAGACACAAGAATATCTCAGTGTCTGCATTCGGGTTGGGGAAAACATAATTGCAGTCACGACAGGGATGTTGGCATATCATGTACACCAGGTAATCTTTGGCTAATTTTAAGTGTTTCTGAAATATATTATTTACTTATAGTATTTTTGAAAGATAGTGATAATTATTTTAAGGGATACTCTGGCATATTAATGATTAAAATATTTAAATGATCTTATGTATTCAAATCAAGCTTAAATGCCAATTTTTAAAAAAACATTTTAAAGTCCCAGCATTTCTATTCAAGTTACATATATTTTGGGTTTTAAGCGTAAATATATCTATATATGTTGAACGAAACTTATACGTCGACAGAATCACCGAGTAGTTTTAAAACAAGTCATGTGACTTGAACAAACCCTGGAAATTACAATAACAGATATTACGGATATTGTTTGATTGAATCAAGTATAAGTCATTCTGTTGACATGTTCTTTAACGTTTCCAGAATTCACTGTGACACCTTTTGTGAAATCTTTCCACTCTAATCTGACCCATGTGGGTCAAGTTAGGAAACCACCATTTCAATCTTTCTAAGGCGAAAAGGTTTTTCCTGTGACTGCCTAGTGTATTTCCTTTGAGGACATTTGCAAAATAATGAATGAAAAATTCAAAAAGAAGAAAAGAAAATTTTGCCTGTTACAAAAGCAAATGAATATGAAAAACATTGAAAAACATTTTTTAAATATAATATAGAAAACAAATATAACATTTTCAAACATTGTATTATGTTGTCACATTTTATCATGATGTTACAATCCGTATAATTTCTTTCAGTGAAAGAAGTGATGAAGAAGGTTGATCAGAGTCTGATTGTCAATACCTACTACTACTATTTCTACTATTTCTCCTTCTACTTGCATACATTAGGGTTTAAATAAGTTTTTCTGCACATTATTACATACGACAGCTTCTTTTTATGTTGTAAACATTGAACCAAATATAAAAAAGACATCCCCCCCAAAAAAATAAGACTAAGAAAAACAAAAACAAAAAAGCCCAACAAAACATGATTATATTGATTATATCAGCTATATAAAAATCATGTTTTATATATCGATTGTTGTAGTTCGATTGGTGAACGGGTCAAATCAGTATGAAGGCAGACTGGAAGTATGGCATGATGGTGCTTGGGGAACAGTATGCGATGATGCGTTTAGTAAGATGTCAGCAACTGTTGTTTGTAAGATGCTAAATTATGCACAGTAAGTAACATGTACCTTCATATGTTAAAATTCATTTTATAAAAAGAAGAATGTCTCATTAACATCTAAAAGTATTTCCTCACGTGAATAAAAGAGAAACAATATCATGAAAATTCTATTTCAAACACTCTAGAAATATATCCACTATTGCTTGTCCTAAATAATACAGTTAATATTTCCTTCCCTACAAAAAGGTTAATCCCTAATAGGTAATTAATCATACAGATAACAGCCAGAAGTTCTAAACATCTTTCTGGAAAATAAATGTTTTAATATAACAGAAAGTCAGAGTAACGTCACTAAAATGTGCTTTTCCCGATCACGATATTTTTTGTGTGCCTTTTGCTTTGGTTGTCTCTTATGTAGTATGTGCCGTCTAAAAGCAAAATTAATGTGTAACTAAGGTTGAATCAGTGTTCACAATTCCCGAAAGCTGTTATCCTATATATCTTGTTTTGAATAAATTTTATTTATGAAAACTATATTCATGCAGAAATATTAATGCGAAAGTCGTTTTACTTCTGCGAAAATCCTTGTAAACTTAGTTGAACACTTGGTTACTTGAAAATTATGTATACAAACGATAGCTATCCCAATAAGTCATGGACAATAGCGTTGAAGGATAAAATACTGAAAGGGTTTCTAAACAGTTTTTACGGATGTTTCAACGCCATTGCTGAATAAACATACAAAAATATCTGCATAATAATATTTCATTTGATTACACATAACAATTTTTTATAGCAAAATTATGAAAAGCTTGGATGTGAATACATTTCTTCAAATTATGATACCAAATATGCCAATATTTTTGCTTTAACAGTTATGTTTCTGTAAGTGTACACTCTCTTTTTCTACTCCATTTTCAACTTGTATGTTGTAAATGTATTTGGGTGAAATAAAAGATTGTGAAATCTTATCATCTTTCGATAAAGTATGCTTGAAATAATCAATCCTGCTAGTAGCCAATGACTGTCTCCAATATTGAAAATATACCATCGTTATGCCTTTAACAAACATTGTGAAATGCTTACCCATGAATACCGAGCAAGCACGGCAATAATATCGAAGCCGAAGAAAATCAAGCTAGTGGTAACAAAACTCATTTCATTAAAAAAATATCTATAGAATACAAATTTCCAAAGACTATATATGTACAAAGACTTTGATGATTAAATTTTGGTATCTTGAGTCTGAATAGGGGTATGTTACGGAACAATTAGAATAATACTTTGCTACCTAATTAGTATTGTTAAGGTCATACAACAAGAAACAGGAACATGCCAATTATGTTTAAACCATTATGTCAAGGAGGAATTTAATAAGTAGTTTTTGATCGGTACGAAGACGAAAAGGAATAATTATTGAAAAGCTCTATTCCCCCCTCCGGGACTATTAATACTAACATGCATTTATTTAATGCTTTTAAACTATGGCAGTCAGACATTTTTTTAAAAAGGAATATGTCTGAGAGAAAATTTTGTTTGACCTTTTAACAGAAAATCGGGATAAACTGAAAATAGCATTTGATATGTATTCTTTGATTCTCAAAAGATGTGTGTTTATTTCCACAACGACACTTTTAAAAGATTAAATGGATAAACGGATGTTAAGCATTATTGAATCAACCATTATAATGTATCTGAGATGCTTTGATAAGAAACTTCAATCATTTTAGCACTAATCCTATGGTGTTAAGGTCTGCACACTTTGGCGCTGGGGCATCACTTATACATTTAGACGGTGTTTACTGCAAAGGAACGGAAACAAGCATAATGCAATGTCCGCATAGAGAGTGGGGAATAACTGATTGTGATCACCATAAAGATGTTGGCATATCATGTACACCAGGTAATGTTTGTCTAATTAAAAATGTTTCTGACATATACGTGTGATATACAGCACATTTGAAATAAAAAAAATATTTTTCAAATATAAAATTAAGTACCATTAAAACTGATTTTTTATCGACAAAAATGTCTCTACTATATTTTCGCAAAACAATTGCGTAGTTACCTTAAACAAAAAATATAGTATCGCTTTTAATGTTGTAATAACGCTAAAATGCCTTGAAATGCGGAAAAATGTGTTATACACGAAACAAAAGGAGTTATAACGCGAAGCAAAAGACGTAAATAACGTTAATGAAGTTGAAATTTGATGTTTGTTCTGTGAACACTTTAGCTTCAGAATGTTCGTACAATATAAATGTTATTCTTGTAGTTCGATTAGTAAACGGCTCAAATCAGTATGAAGGGAGACTAGAAGTATGGCATGATTGGTCTTGGGGAACTGTATGCGATGATGGGTTTGATACGCTGTCAGCAAGTGTTGTTTGTAAGATGCTCAATTTTCAACAGTAAGTTAACACTTGTTTTATAATCTAAACCAACACATTTTCAAACGTTTTTGTTAGAGGCATAATATTATTGAAAGAGGTTTAAAATCACAATTAATTTTACAATATCAATTAATCAATTGATTGATTCCCAAAAGAATTGTGCGAGTTTTTATTCTTCTTAATGCGAAGAAAACAAAAATTGGAAAAAGTAATGAATGACATTATATAAAAAGAACAATATGATATATTGTTTAATTTCTTGTATTTAACTTAATATATTTAGTACTAATCCTGTGGTATTCAAGTCTTCTTACTTCGGCTCTGGAGCATTACCAGTACATTTAGACAATGTGAAATGTTCGGAAACAGACACAATAATATCTCAGTGTCCGCATTCGGGTTGGGGAAAACATAATTGCAGTCACGATAAAGATGTTGGCATATCATGTACACCAGGTGATCTTTGGCTAATTTTAAGTGCTTCTGAAATACACTATTTATTTTCAGTATTTTCGAAAGATAGTGATAATTATTTAAAGGGATATCATTACTAAATTAATGACTAAAATATTAAAATGATCTTATGTACTAAAATCAAGATTAAATGCCAATTTAAAAAAAAAAACATTTTAAAGTCCCAGCATTTCCATTCAAGTTACATATATTTTGGGTTTTAAGCGTAAATATATCTATATATGTTGAACGAAACTTATACGTCGACAGAATCACCGAGTAGTTTTAAAACAAGTCATGTGACTTGAACAAACCCTGGAAATTACAATAACAGATATTACGGATATTGTTTGATTGAATCAAGTATAAGTCATTCTTTTGACATGTTCTTTAACGTTTCCAGAATTCACTGTGACACCTTTTGTGAAATCTTAACACTCTAATCTGACCCATGTGGGTCAAGTTAGGAAACCACCATTTCAATCTTTCTAAGGCGAAAAGGTTTTTCCTGTGACTGCCTAGTGTATATCCTTTGAGGATATTTGCAAGATAATGAATGAAAAATTCAAAAAGAAGAAAAGAAAATTTTGCCTGTTACCAAAGCAAATGAATATGAAAAACAATGAAAAACATTTTTTAAATATAAAATAGAAAACAAATATAACATTTTCAAACATTGTATTATGTTGTCTCATTTTATCATGGTGTTACAATCCATACAATGTATTTAAGTAAAAAAGTGCTGAAGAAGGTTGATCAGAGTCTGATTGTCAATATCTACTTCTACTACCATTTCTACTATTACTTCTACTACTTGCATAAATCAGGGCTTAAATAAGTTTTTCTGCACATTATTACATATGACAGCTTCTTTTTTATTTAGTAAACATTGAACAAAAAATAAAAAGAAAACCCCCGAAAAAAGACACCCCCCCCCAAAAAAAAAATGATTACATTGATAATATCAACTATATATAAATCATGTTTTATATATCGATTCTTGTAGTTCGATTGGTGAACGGATCAAATCAGTATGAAGGGAGACTGGAAGTATTGCATAATGGGGCTTGGGGAAAAGTATGCGATGATGCGTTTAGTGTGATGTCAGCAACTGTTGTTTGTAAGATGCTGAATTACCCACAGTAAGTAACATGCACCTTCATATGTTAACATTCATTTATAAAACGAAGAATGTCTCATTTACATCTTAAAGTATTACCTCAAGTGAATAACAGAAAAACAATATCATGAAAACTCTATTTCACACACCTTAGAAATATATCCACACAATTGATTGTCCTAAATAATACAGTAAATATTTCCTTTCTTGCGAAAAGGTAAATCCCTAAGAAGTAATTAACCATACAGATAACAGCCAGAAGTTCTCAACATCTTTCTGAAAAAAATAATGTTTTAATATAACAGAAAGTCAGAGTAATGTAACTAAGGTGTGCTTTTCCCGATCACGATATTTTGTATGTGCCTTGTGCTTTGGTAGTCTCTTGTGTAGTATGTGCCGTCTAAAAGCAAATGAGTAGCTTAGCTTGAATCAGTGTTCACAATTCCCGAAAGCTGTTATCCTATATATCTTGTTTTGAATAAATTTTATTTATGAAAACTATATTCATGCAGAAATATTAATGCGAAAGTCGTTTTACTTCTGCAAAAACCCTTGTTAACTTAGTTGAACACTTGGTTACTTGAAAATTATGTATACAAACGATAGCTATCCCAATAAGTCAAGGACAATAGCGTTGAAGGATAAAATACTGAAAGGGTTTCTAAACAGTTTTTACGGATGTTTCAACGCCATTGCTGAATAAACATGCAAAAATATCTGCATAATAATATTTCATTTGATTACACATAACAATTTTTTATAGCAAAATTATGAAAAGCTTGGATGTGAATACATTTCTTCAAATTATGATACCAAATATGCCAATATTTTTGCTTTAACAGTTATGTTTCTGTAAGTGTACACTCTCTTTTTCTACTCCATCTTCAACTTGTATGTTGTAAATGTATTTGGGTGAAATAAAAGATTGTGAAATCTTATCATCTTTCGATAAAGTATGCTTGAAATAATCAATCCTGCTAGTAGCCAATGACTGTCTCCAATATTGCAAATATACCATCGTTATGCCTTTAACAAACATTGTGAAATGCTTACCCATGAATACCGAGCAAGCACGGCAATAATATCGAAGCCGAAGAAAATCAAGCTAGTGGTAACAAAACTCATTTAATTAAAAAAATATCTATAGAATACAAATATTTAAAGACTATATATGTACAAAGACTTTGATGATTAAATTTTGGTATCTTGAGTCTGAATAGGGGTATGTTACGGAACAATTAGAATAATTCTTTGCTACCTAATTAGTACTGTTAAGGTCATACAACAAGAAACAGGAACATGCCAATTATGTTTAAACCATTATGTCAAGGAGGAATTTAATAAGTAGTTTTTGATCGGTACGAAGACGAAAAGGAATAATTATTGAAAAGCTCTATTCCCCCCTCCGGGACTATTAATACTAACATGCATTTATTTAATGCTTTTAAACTATGGCAGTCAGACATTTTTTTAAAAAGGAATATGTCTGAGAGAAAATTTTGTTTGACCTTTTAACAGAAAATCGGGATAAACTGAAAATAGCATTTGATATGTATTCTTTGATTCTCAAAAGATGTGTGTTTATTTCCACAACGACACAGTTAAGAGATTAAATGGATAAACGGATGCTATGCATTATTTGATTGACCATTATGATATATCTGAGATGATTTGATAAGAAAACTTAATCATTTTAGCACTAATCCTATGGTGTTAAGGTCTGCACACTTTGGCGCTGGGGCATCACTAATACATTTAGACGGTGTTTACTGCAAAGGAACGGAAACAAGCATAATGCAATGTCCGCATAGAGAGTGGGGAATAACTGATTGTGATCACCATAAAGATGTTGGCATATCATGTACACCAGGTAATGTTTGTCTAATTAAAAATGTTTCTGACATATACGTGTGATATACAGCACATTTGAAATAAAAAAAAAATATTTTTCAAATATAAAATTAAGTACCATTAAAACTGATTTTTTATCGACAAAAATGTCTCTACGTACTATTTATGAAACGAAATTACTATATGTTTAAAAGAAAGTATCACTTTCATCAAAATTAGATGAACATTTTTCCAAAAAGGTTTTTTCTCTTCTAAGAATACTGCTAAAAAACATTTGATATGTATGAACTTCACGTATATAAAAAATAAAGTAAGATTAATATATGTCAGTTAATGTTTAAACATAAAACAGTTTCTGATTGTCCTGAAAAAATAAAAAGGCTGCACTTGCGTTTTACCATTTTATGTGACAGAGTAAATGTTGTTTATTGAGTGGAGCTTTGTATTAAGTTTAGACTGGGCCAGGAACAACACCTGTCGATTTTTTGAAAAACGGTCATGTTTATGTCAACACATAGTAGATAATTGCCTTAGCTATTAGAAAATGACGGATTGGAATTACGGGGCTTCCTGATTTGTAATTTTCATTCTTAAAAATATTTAATACTGGCATTAAAAGTCTACAACACATTAAAAGTAGATGTTAATAACAAAGTAATCTTAAGATGTACAATTGAAATACATGTTCAAAATATGCACAATAAAATTTTGACTATTGTGTTAATCACGGCAATATAAAAAGCAATCATACGTGCTTTAAAATGACAGCTATTGCAAATGTATGTCTGTGAAAATGTCTAAGCTTGCTTGAGTATTTGGGCGTCTGTGCATATGTAAATTTAGCTTTCCGTGACTTCCCTTTATTTGACCTTTCTTCTTGAATTTTAGTAGGATTAAAAACGACAACATACCCGACTGGCTTTCAGTAACATAATATTGTCACATTTCTTCCATTATAAGTAACAAGTGTAACAATCCGCAGACAGCAAAAATGCAGCTTATCACTTTAAATGATTATATTTCAATACAGTTAGACTTAATTGTAACATGGACAAGATATAATGTACAGACTAATTTATGTCATATCAAAAAGCAAATAGAAACTTTTTTAATTGTTCTGGATACAAATTATAGCAAAAACAACTAAACACTTTACACAACATGATTTAAGTTACTTCATATGTTAAATGTATTTAATACGATCTTTATGTTTAAGAATTGTCAAAAATGCTCCAATGGAAACACTTAACATGCGCTGCATACAACGCAAATGTAAGCGTTATTTATAAGCGGTAAAGACAATGTGCGTTGTCTTTTCCTATCAACTACCTAAAAATGTTCGTTAAATTAGCCAAAACACTTTTTCCCCTACTCCGGCTGCTTCCGGTTGGTTCGCTGGTTTGGTAGCCGGAATCTTGTTTCTGCTGAACCGGCTAGAAAGATATCATACAGTGTAAGATCATCGGTTTATTTCATATTGTTATTTCACACTAGTATCTATGGTATCCATCACGATCTACGGCTATTCCGGTAAACCCGAAAACTTTAACTATGGCTAATACTGACAAATGACAGTCTGACAACACATTTTTGTATAGTGAGTGATGTGTCTTTGTTTCCGCTAGTATAAGTGTGTTCGTCGGGAATACTCGGGTATTTTGCCAACGTAAAGTACAAAATCGAAATTGTAAACGGTCATTTCAGCTGAAAGGTCGCTATTGCTTGTCCTTGTCAGCCCCCTATGGTTGGATGGTTAGGTGGTCTAACCGAGTGTCCACTGATATAAGCGTGTTTGTCTGGATTAAAAAATGCTAAAGAGAAGCGTTTCTTTTTAATTTATGGAACTGATTATATTTATTCGTCGAGAATACTAAAACTCTAACAATCGTTTATAATGAGGGGAAGTAAAAGTTATAGTTTATATTCGAGATTGTTATCTGGAATAAAGCATAGGCTGTGGTGACATCACTGATATTTCTATATACAAAATGATGGAGTCCCTAGGTTCAATTTCCGTAGACAAATAAATCCTGGATTGAGCCGAAAGCCATACGCTTTCAACATAAAGGTTTGCTATAATGTTAAATATTCAAGCACCCTTAGGATACATTGTCTGCATTTTAGCTCACCTAAGATGAGTCAGGGTAAGATTTTAGGATAGTTTAATGTCCGTCGTCTGTTGTCCATCGTCCGTCAACATTTGTTCGTTAATATCTAGTGGTCACATTTTTGCGTGAATCATCATCAAACTATATCAGGATGCTTGTCTATGTAATTACTCGGATTAGATTGAACATGGGACATTTCGAATGAAAAACTGGGTCAGAGGAGCTAAAAATAGAATAGACCTTGTTAACACTCTAGTGGTCACATTTTTTACTCAATTGTCAACAAACTTGGTCAGGATGCTAAGCTTAGCTTGGATAAATTCGAACATCTCGTATGAAAAACTAGGTTACATGAGCTTAAATAGAAAAATCTTGCTTACACTCAAGTGGTGACATATGTGACTTAATTGCCGTCAAAAGTTATCAGGATCATTGTCTAGCTTATTGCTTCGGATAAGTTTTAATAATGTCATCTCGATTGACAAACTAGGTCACATGAGCTAAAATAGAAAAATATTGTAAATATACTTGTGGCCACTGTTTTTATTCAAATATCCTGGAAATTGGTATGAACGTTTGTTTTGGAAATATCAAGGTCAATTTTGGATATAGGTCACTTGAGTTAAAAACCAGGTCACAACGTCAGATTATATTAGTTAACAATCTAGTTGTTATATGCTTTTCTCAATTGTCATTAGACTTGGTCAGGATGCTTGTCTAGGTAATTGATTGGATGAGTTCGAACATGGATCATCTGGAATGAAAAACTGGGTCATTTGAGTTAAAATAGAAAAATCTTGCTACCACTCTAGTGGCTATAAATTCAATATGAAAAACCTTGTTACTACTCTAGTGGTTACAATTTTTACTCAATTGTCAACAAACTTGGTCATGATGCTTGTGTAGGTAATGTCCGTCGTCTGCCGTCCGTTGTTCGTCCACATTTGTTCGTTAATATCTAGTTTTTACATTTTTGCGTGAATCATCATCAAAATATGGAAGCTTGTCTGGGTAATTGCTCGGATGAGTTTGGACATGGTTATCTCGGATGAAAAACTTGGTCAAAGGAGCTAAAAATAGAAGAAAAAAATATAATAGAAAAATAAATCTTGTTTCAACTATTTTTATCAAATATCCTGGAAATTAGTATGAAAGTTTGATTAAATGATTTCCAGGTCAAGTTCGAATTTGGGCTACCTGGGGTCAAAAAAAAGGGTTACCGCCCAAATATGGAAAACAATTGTTAAAGCTATAGTTGTCATTCAACATTGTCACGATGCTTTTCTAGGTAATTGCTCGGAATAGTTTGAACATGGGTCATCTCGGATGAAATACTATGTCACTAGAGCGAAATATTTTGTTAAAACTCTTCTGGCGTCTGTTTTGATCCAAATATCCTGGAAATTTTTCTGAAAATAAGTTTTGATGATTTCTAGGTCAAGTTTGAATATGGGGTAAAAACTAGCTCACAACGCCAAAATATGGAAAAACTTGTTTACACTCTAGTTATAATATTTTGATTCAAATGTTATCAAACTAATTAGTTTTTGAAGTTGAATTTAATATTGATATCAACTGACCTACTTTCGATATAATTAATGATTTCGTTTGATCTAGTTGTTTGCTTCTTGAAGTACAGGCCAGCGGGGTAATTTCTGATGCCAAATTTAATTTTGATATCAACTGACGTACTTTTGATATAATTTATATAAATTTGACCTTCTTTCTTGCATTTTGACTTACAGACATGCAAATAAGACCAAAGGTGTTATTTCTTATGCCGAGTTTATTTTAATATTATCTGACCTTCTTTGGGTTTTTTTTTTTACTTCATTTGACCTACTTTCTTGTTTTCTGACGTACAGATTTGAAATTGGACCAGGGGTGTAATTTTTATGCTGAATCGAATAAAGAAAACAGTTGTCCTACTTCTGTTGTTTTTTGTTATTGCTTGAACTACAATGAAATGATGGGCCAGGTGAGCGACCTAGGTTCATCTTGACCCTCTTGCTAAATGTCTCCTCAAAAGCTTTGCTTTTCTGTGTCATAAATGCTTTAAATACTTTGGTCCCGTGTCAAAGACCAAAGTTATTACGTATCGTGCATGCTTTCCTCATTTAGGCCACGATGCTACGTACACACATTTTTACGATATCACTATTTCTTAAAATGGCATGAACGTGTCACATCAAATGTTCTATGATAACTACCTTATGAACACCGAAGAGAACACTGACAAAAACCACCTTACAACCGAATTCATACCATCATGACACAAAATTTTGCCAACCAAACACCAATGCCATGTCATTTTGATTTTAACAAAAATCTATGATAAATAGTTTAATCTTCTTTAATGTCTTGGTCTTAAATCAAATATAAATCTATATATTGTAAATCTTTTCATTCTCGTACTTTTATAGGAAAAACTAATCAAACAATATCTTAAATTCATAATGCATTTGATAAACCTTTAAGCAGAATAATTTTACCTTTGCCTAGGATTATGTCAGGTTCTCGGTATATTTTGACAATAACACCTGCTTCTTAACAATTTTCAGGGGAATTCTATAAAAAAGTAAAATGCTTATTTTTATTTCAAAATTTTTTGGGTTTTAAATTTACCCTCGTCTGACAAACTAAAATTTATGGTTTGATTTTCCAACGGGCAAGGATAAAATTTAAAACGCCAAGGCCCATAGAAACTTAATTATAAAATTAAGCTTGTCTTTAGGTAAAATATTTATTCACTTAAAAATCCTTGATTATTAAATTTTGCAAAGTTAAGTTCTACTTGTTTGTTTAACAAGTTTTTGTTTTGCCCCTAAATTTTTGTTTTTTCATTTAAAAAACTTCTAATGACTTTTGCAAAATGACCTCAACAGGGTTCGTTCTTTTAAACCTATTTTTT